CCCTGGGTTCACATGGTCTCAGAGCAAGCTTGTCAGAGCTTATCACCAAGCTGGAGCCTATGTAGCAAACAGCAGGCACAGCAGAATGTTCTAGGGGGACAATCTGCATGCAGCTCAGTCCTGTGATTCCTTCTCCTCTGGCTGGCTGCCCCTTTACCCAGCTCCCCGAACACTGAACACTGGCCTGCAGGGCCTGTTCCCCTCAGAGAACCCAATGGGCAGCCGGGCTCAGTGCTCTCAGGTCTCTCCATAAAATTTCCAAGGCTGTTTGCCCCACAGATACCTAGGTGACCCCTGGATGGTCCATTCTCTTCTCAGGACCTCTGGTTCCTTAAATGTAAGCTAAGAGATTTGGGGTCCATTTTTTTGTGACAGAATGGCTCCCTGTCTCCAGAAAGTAGAAAGCAGGTAAGACTGCCTGGTTTCAAGAATCCCTAATTTCTTGTTGTCCCTAAGGCAGAACTAGGGGCATGAACTTTCCTTCCAACAGCTCCATGCCTCTGGTCCCCACCACACAGGAGAGGTGTGTCTTCTGGTCCCATCCTTTCCTGTAGGTCCCACAGATCTATTCCTGGAAGCAGGGGCAGCCCTATGGAGGCAGCTGGACCCACAAGGCATGGTCACCTTCAGCTTAGCTCCATAGAGTGGGGGCCACTGCAGGCCTCCTGAGCCTGACCAGGCAGCTTCCTGGCTCCAACTCCCCCACTCCCCCCGGCCCAGGGGTTCTGGTGCTCCAAGCCTCCATTTAGGGAAGACCTTATTCATGGGCAGACTGTCTTGGGTCTGACCCAGTTTCCTGGCCCATTTCTCCTGCCCTACTGACTGCAAGAAGCCGGGGTCGGCCCCTGATTTCCATCGACCACTAGGGGGCTTTTAGAAACCTGGAGCTCTAGCCTCCCTTAGTGGGAGAGTCAGGCAAGGGCCTGAGGGCACCTAACCGCAGGTGAAATATCCTGAGCTGCATGCCCACCCAAACTGGGGATGTAGAGAAGAGAACTCTTTACTTATGCAAAGGGGAAGCAGGCCCAGGACACCCTTGGGAGTAAGGAGTGAGGCCATCCCAGAAAACACCCTAGGTCTCCATTCCATAATTTCCTTGGTGCATGTACTGCACTGGCAAATATTTCTCACGCATTCCCCCCACCCCCGCCCCCAGAACAGGACACCTCACCCCCTTCAACTCAAGTATTTTGGAAGGGCAGTCTTAGGAGGTAAGGGATGGCTGAGAATTTGTGTTTAAATGTGAGGAGGGGGTTCATATTGTCAGTGATGAGTGTGAGGATGTTTACATTCATACAAGTGCATACACACTCCTCATTCAATACAATGTGGAGCAATTCATTACCCAGACCATGAGAAATTGGCAGGGTATTCGCATCAAACTCTAAGTTGTATTTATAGTATACCCTGACAAACATAAATACATACACCCAGATGGTCCAGCTATCTAGACCAGACTATATATGCTAAGGCATAATTGCTGTATATCAGGAACTCTCTTAAATACTTTTGCCCTCGCTTAGGAGGTTCCTTAAATCATCTTCTCTAATAGATACTCAGAAGTGCAAAGAAGGAGAGGAGAGAAAGGAAATGAGAGATGAAGAAAGTCAGCCATAGCCTCAAACTTTTAGCACTAGGGGAAATGACCGAACTATAGAGTTATGGAGAAACCCCTAGGGCTGGAATTAGAGACAGATGTCTTCCTGTGGGCATCCACTGGGAAGTGGGGGTATAATCTATCTCCTTTCTCTGTGTGGGATCCCTCCCCCGATCCCTGTGTACATCAGGAGTCCCTTACTGATTCTTCCATTTCATTGTGCAAACTTGGTGAGACTGCCACTACCTCACCAGCCTTGGGTGTCTCTTTGCCTTTCAGCTCTTGGGGACAGAGAGAGGCTATCCTCCATGGCTGGCCTACACCAACTTCCCCTACCTCACTGAAGCCTCTGCCCTGGACACTCTCCTCTTTTGCTTTCTCTGCCTGGGATAGCAGTTAGGGGGTGCCAAGAGTCAACCCTGGAATAGACAGCCTCAACCAGCTCAAGCAAAGGCTCTGTATATAGTCTTTGTTATCATTCAGCAAGCCAGGATTATATACCAACAACATAACTGCATATATTACCAATGACTTATGAATGCAACGCACGCTGTGGTCCCTCATAAGCACTCCTTGAGTATTAGGCATATGGTTATTACAATGCCTAAAATATATGCCCTCTCTGAAGGCGAATGACAAACATATACACCTCCCATCCTGTCACCAGGACACGACTTACACTGTACGCACATATTTGTAGCAGACAGACTACACAACTGCCCATGGGATACATGTTCACACCACAGAAAGCACAGACAGACAAACACATAGCAGTCCAGTTTCTTTTCTGCAACTCCTCTTAGCCAGACAGTGGTGCGGTGGTTCACTAGAAGCACCCAGATCCTAGGCCTGACCAGTCTCTTGGGCTTCCCACCTCATCTGAACCTCCCTCTCCAGCCTAATGCTTCCCTCTCCCCCCGGCACTGACGGGCTCCAGTCGAGGTCACAGGCTGATGCTCCTCAAAACAGCCACGACTTCATCTTCCAGCCTTCTAGCCTCCCCAAGGAAGCTGGAGGGATGAAAGATATCCTGAATCAGAGCCACTTCCCCTCCGGCCCAGCTACACATAACAGGGATCCCACCCTGATGGTCCCACAGTGTAACCACTAGTATAGGCTGGAGTGTGAGGCCTGCAGCCTTCATCCCTGTCTCCAGCTGCCCCTGACCCACTGGTCTGCCTGGACCTGTGACCCCTGCTGTCCAGGCCCAGAGTGGGGGCACTGAGGGACACATGGCTGGAGTGGGATCCGGCACAAGCTCCACCACGGTGGAGGGGAGAGCTGGCTCATACTTGTCATCCCATCCGCAGATTGAAGGCTGACCACCCCTAATATTCCTTGAGCTCCCCGGGGCTGTAACAGGGTCAAATGCCGCATGCCTGCGCAGAAGCACCAGTCTGAATTCGTTATTTGAAGTCTCAGTAGAGGAAGAGAAGGGGAAAAAAAATAGATTTCTACAGCCACACAGTATGTTCATTCCTCTCTGATACTCCTAAATCTCTTACGCGTGTCTCAATGTAAATGAATTCTGATTATTAAAAATAATAAGGCAATCCACGTAAGTCGCTCCTTACATTTGTACAGAGGTTGGCAGCCTACAGAACATTTCCTCAACCAGGATTTTATCTATTTGGAATAAGCTCTTCTGGTTACTGTATTTGTCTGGAAAAATAGAAACGTATGAGCTCAATATAATGAAAACACAGTCCATACACCTAGTACGTCTGCGTAAGAGGTGAAATACAAACTCGGATGGGTGCAAAAATCGAACAAATTCTACGTACACCCACGCCTTGTGAACGAACCACGACTGATAAAGTCTCTTTGATGACGTTAAACAGCCCCAACCGACCAGCGATGACACAGAAAACAAACAATCCCCCGGAAAACAGAGCGGCAGCAACCACAAACGCCCTCCACTCGGGCTGCCCTCAACCCTTATTTATCTGAAAGAGAATAAAACTTTGCTGGAAATCTCTCTCTCGTACCTAGCTGCTGGACAAACTTAGGCGAGGCAGAAATAATAGAAGTCCGTGTTAAAAGAAAGAACAAAAAAATTTATTTGGGAATTGACAAGACGGTAACAACAAACAAACAAACAAAACAACAAAAGTGCTCTAGTTCTTTCTAGAAAATTTGGTCCTCCAAACGACACACTACAAAACAACCGGGTCTAGGGTTTTTCGGGCCAGCCGGCTCCCCGCCACCAGCCCGCCTGGTCCGACTGCTGCCAGGTTTCACATTTCTCCTGCCCAAGGTGGGAGAAGCAAGACGTTTGCAACACAAAAATCAGAGAGAGGACAAGCCGTCCCCGCAGCGTCCGCCGGGCAGGCAGTGATCTCCCGGCACTCTGGGCTTGCATCGGAAGATCCGGGGAAATTTGGTTTTGATTTGTTTGTTTTCAGACAGATAGAGAGGGGGGAACCCTCCAATCGGGAAAGGAAACCGACTTCTACTGAGCAGATTCTCCTACCTCTGAACACAGCTTTTTGAAGGCCCGACAGGAATTCTACTTCAAATCTCCTGGAAGAGATTTTCATGTTTTGCTTTAGCAAACTCCAAGGCCACAATACTTCGCCGGTTTTCCCGGTTAGTTTTTTTTCTTTTTTCTTTCTTTTTTCCTTAAAAAGACATTTTAAAACGTCATCTAAAACAGCCCTCCTGATCTTTTGGGCGAAGCCTCGGCCCGCCGCCGCGGGCCTGCAGGCGCCCGGAGCGCGGGGTCGGGGAGCGGAGGACGCGCAGCCCGCCTGGGAGCCGGGGATGAGCTGCAAAGCCCCGCGCAGGCCGCCGCGCCGGGCAGCCCGGCTCCCCGCTCCCGCCCGCCCCCCGCCCCACTCGGGGGGCCCCCGCCAGCGGCTTCTGAGCCGCTCCCAGAGGCTACGTGGAGCAAACGCACGTTCGTCCCTTGCTCGGGCGCGGCGCGGGTCTCCTCGCCCGCCCGGACCCGCGCTCCCAGCCAGGGATGGCGCGGCAGCCGCCGGGCCGGCCGGGGAAGCCGAGCGCGAGCGCACCGACCTGTGTGAGGAGGCCCGGAGGTCTGCACCGCCGACGCCCGGCTGCACCGCGGCCCCGGCGCTTCCCCTCCGCTCTGGACTCTGCCTCGGCGTGTCCAGCCCGGACGCCGGGGCGCCGGGAGGGGACGCGGCCTGCAGAAGGCGCGCGGAGAGGCGGCCTGCAGGCCCGGGCGGCGAGGGGGCGGCGAGGGCGGGGAGGCGAGCCGCGGGAGGAGCGGTGGAGACAAAAGGGGGGCGAGCGGCGAGCGGCGAGCGGCGCGGAGGGGAGCCAGGAGAGGCGGGGGGCCCCGGGCGCGGGCTCCGAAGGCGGCCCCGGGGGCGCGTGGCTGCGGCCGAGGCCGGCGTCGCACGTCCCTGCATCCTCAGAGTCGGCGCGCGCGGGGCTCTCAGAGGTCGAGGCGCGAGTGCAGCGCGCCGGTCTTGGCGTCGTGGTCCCAGTAAGAGCAATGCATCATGGCGAGCTCGGGCTGCCGGGCGCAGGCGAACTGCAGGCCCGGCGCGTTGGTGGGCGCGGGCGCCGGGGGCGCGGCGGTGGCCGGGCTGGCGGGGCTGAGCTGGCCCGGGGGCGGCGCGGCGGCCGCGTGGTGCGGCGGGGCCGGCGGCGGCGCGGCGGCCGCGTGCAGATGGTGCGCGTGCGGGTGCGAGTGGGGGTGCGGCGGCGGCGGCGGCGGGGGCGCGGCGGGCGGGCCCCCCAGGCCGTTGTACGAGTTCACCACGCCGGGGGGCAGCGCCATGCTCTGCACGCGCGAGTACGGCCCGTACGAGGCGGCCGGGCCCGCCAGCCCCTTGACCACCGCGGCCGCGCCCGGGCTGCCCGGGCCCGCGGCCGCCGCGGCCGCCGCCGGCCGCCGCGGCCGCCGCCGCCATCTGGCAGGAGGCGTAGGGCATGGGTGAGGGCGGCTGCGGCAGCGGCCAGGAGTTGTTGAGGAAGCCGGACTGCAGGTACTTGGGGGGCGCCAGGTAGCCGTAGCCGTCGGCGCCCGCGCCCGCCACGCCGCAGCCGCCCGCGGCGCCCCCGGCCGCGAAGAGCCCCTTGCCCGGCTGGAAGTGGGCGGGCGGCGGGCGGAAGGGCCGCTTCATGCGGCGGCGGCGGCGGTAGTTGCCCTTCTCGAACATGTCCTCGCAGGCCGGGTCCAGCGTCCAGTAGTTGCCCTTGCGCTCGCCGCCGCCCTCGCGCGGCACCTTGATGAAGCACTCGTTGAGGCTGAGGTTGTGGCGGATGCTATTCTGCCAGCCCTTCTTGTTCTTCTCGTAGAACGGGAACTTGGCGATGATGTACTGGTAGATGCCGGACAGCGTGAGCCTCTTCTCGGCGCTCTCGCGGATCGCCATGGCGATGAGCGCCACGTACGAGTACGGGGGCTTCTGCGCGGGGTCGGGCTTCTCCGGGGCCGCCCCGGCGCCGCCGCCGCCGCCGCCGCCGCCGCCTCCGCCGCCCCCGCCGCCGCCTCCCTTGCCGGGGCTCGGCGGCGGCGGCGGCGGCGCCTCGGGCTCCTTGGCCGCGCGGCCGGGCTCCGGGGCCAGCAGGGCCCCCGCGGCGCCCTCGGGCTCGGCGTAGCTGGCCATCATGGCAAAGCCGGCGCGCCGCGGCCCGGCAGCCCCTGCCCCCTTCCCGCGGTGCCCGCGCGGCGCAGTCCGGGCGCGCGAGTCGGCGCGCGGCCGAGTCTCAAACTTCTGGGCACCGCGGGCGCCGCCCGTGCTCGCTGGCCGGCGGCCTCTGGCTGCGCTGCTCTCCTCTCGCCCTTCCCCTCGGCAGCGGCCGGCGGGACTGCAGCTCAGCCTCTGGCCATGGGGAGTCCGCCCAACAGCGAGGGGCTCCGGCCCCGCCGCCCCTCCCCGCCCAGGCCAGTCCCCGCCTCGGTGGGTTTTCTTCCCGGCGCCCTTCCCCTCCCCCCACCCGCCGGTTTTCCGAGGCGCGACCCGCGCTCCGGCGGAGCTGCCTGCCGGAGTCCCCAGTGCGCCGGGAGCCTGGCTCAGTGCTGATTCGTATGGGCTCCGCCGAGTTCCGCTTGCGTCAGGCGCCTTCGCCCCTATAGCGGGGCGGCCAGTCGCACACGGGCGAGTTCATCTCCAAGTCACTTTCTGTGAACGCCCCGCACGGCCCGGGCCGGCCTGCGCCCCTCCCAGCGCGCCGAGGGGGGCCCGGCCGACGACCCGGCTCCCGCTCCCGCTCCCGCCCGCGCCTGCGATCCGCGGGGCTCGCTCGGCGGGCCGGGCGGGGTGACGCCGAGGGCCCCCGCGGGGTGCGTCCGCGCCCGGCCAGGGCTCAGGGAGTTCGGGCCCCCGCGGGGAGGGGCGCGCCAAGCCGCCTCGCGGCTTTCAGGTGAAAGAGAAGGACTCGGCGGCTCTGCCCCTTCGCCGCAGTTCCCCGGGGCCGAACTTCTCTAGCTTGGGGCCGGGGGAGGGGCGGGACGGCGAGGGGGCCGGGCGGCGGCGGGGTGGAGAGAGCTGCGCGGTGGCTTTGGGAAAACCAGCCCAGAAACGCGTGTCACTGAACCGAGCAACCTCGGCCTGGCCTGGCCTGGCGTGGCCTGGCCGTCGTGCTTGCAGAGGGACTGGGCCGGATGGGGCTGGGGAGACGGTCGGGGAAGGAGCGCCCAGCAGCCTGGCCTGAAGCCCCTTTGTCCTTCCTTGCTCTGCCCCTGGACGCAGGGACCGGACCTCTCCCCAGAACCCGCCTCGTAACCCTCGCTTGGATGTGTGCTTTAACAGCACCGAGGAGACTCTCCCCTAGCCCTGCTCTGACGCGGGCGCGAATGTTGTGGCCCGTGGGGCTTTGGGGGACTTGGTCTGTGTGCGCGCCGTTATCACACACACACAAGTCATGGGGCCGGTCTGTCCGTGAGACACGTGAGATACCAGCTGCCCAGGTGCACATGTGCTGGTGCAAAAACACAGGTATGCACACGTACAAGGTGAGATTTATATTTATGGATAAAATATTTATACTTACTTACTCGTGTAATGGTACATGTGTGTCACCTATCAGTAAGTGTGGTCCTGGGATGTCGCATCTTCTCTCTTTTTCCTCTCTCCTTTCTTCCTTCTTCCCTTTCCCTATTCCGACACAGACTGGGAAGAAAACCAAGAGGCTGGGAGAGGCATTTGTTCAAATCTCTCTCCTGACATTTGTTCTGATCTTTCTCCAGGGCCGAGGGGTGAATGCTCATCTACCTGCAGCAGAAGTCTGAATGGGTCCCAGTCACACCTGCATGCCAAGAGATTGTCTCAGGGGAAATTAATGCTGACACGAAAGGCAGCTGTGCTTTTTAACAGTTTAACTTAGCCTCAGCAAAACGTCTGCCATCATAAAGTGTGAGAGAGATGTCCGGGTGTTTTGAATCCTCATGCCCCAAACTCCTTGGTACTAAGGGGGCCGGGATACTTTGGGGAGGAAGGTGGACTGGATGGATGTCATGCCAGGTTGTGTCCCGTGTCTGGATTGGCATGCCTGGAGTGGCCACCCCAAAGCTCATTACTACCACTTCCTCTTGGGCTGCCCAGTCTCAGCGGAAGCCTGAAGAGCCCTTAGTGGCCTATGGGCCCAGCACCCATGGCCACGTTTGTGTGTTGCCTGCTTCCGGCTCAGCTCTCTGATCTACATTGTGAGATTAAAGGAAAGGAGGACAGGGTGATGGGCTCTTTTGGAATTGAGCATCGTGCAAATGACTACAGAGAGGTCAGCAGGGCAGTCTGGTCTGAACACTAAAGTGAGAGGGAACAGGGCTCTCCTAAACTCACTTCAGTAAATTCCTTCCTCTACCCTCCATTTAAGTATATTTTAGGGTAGCTTGATTGTTTCTCCTGCTGCTCCCATTATACACTGGGGTAAGCAGCACCTCTTCAAAACCTCTGTGGCTGTCTCCTGAGCAGGAGTGCAGGTGTTTTTCTTCTTTCTCACCCCCATCCATGCCCAGGCTAGGGGTGGGAGTGATGTGAATTTGGTTTGGGGCTGCTGCAGATTGACCCTAGTGCCCCTCCTCCCCCTTGGCCTGGGCAGAGGGGAAAAAACAGTTGGGTCTGGCCCCAACCCGCGGGTGTGTGTGCTCTCTCCACTCCTCTTTTTTTCTGACCACCCAGGCTGGCTCTCTCTCTCGCTCTCCCCCTTTGCAGGCATTTCCGCTGCTGGCCTGCAGCAGCCAGGTGTAACAGCATTGTTGTGTGTGTCATCACTTCCCCGAATTCCAAACTCGGGCTCCCTTTTCAGCCTTTAAGGAGTGTGTGTGTGTGTGTGTGTGTGTGTATGTGTGTGCGTGCACGTGTGAGTAGGAGGTGGGGGTAAAGGAAGGAGTTCCTGTAAAGGGTCTTCTGGGTGGACAGGAGTCCTGCTCCTTTCAGGTATTGCTGTCCAGGAAGCGGTGGGGCTTGCTTCTCAGCCCTCTAGGGCCGGCCGGGGGGGGGGGGGGGGGCGGAGGGCCCCGCTTCCTGGCGAGGTCCAGGCCGGCCGACCGTGTCGAGGCTCGTGGGGGGGGCATCCTCTCTCCCCGCGGCATTGCGGCGACGCCGGGCCTCCGTCCAGTGACCTCGGGGCGGTGCCCACCTCGCAGGCCCGGGCGGAGCTCCTGGCCTCTCCGTCCGGGTTTCCCGGGGGCCTGCAGCTGCAGCGCGGGAGCCGCCGCCAGTGCCTCCTGCCGGGCGTCCCGCCCGGGCGCCGCCTGCGGACGCGGTGCCGGAGCCCCGCCGGCGGGGCGCGGCCCCCCTCCTGCGCCCGCCCCGCGCCCGCGAGGCCCCGACAGCCGGCGCGAGCGGTTCACTCGGCTCGGACGCAGGACGCAGGACGCAGGGAGACGCTTCTCTCCTCCCCGGCGGGGATCCTGCATCGGGCCGCCGCCGAAGGGGCCGCGCCTCTGGGGATCCCGGCGGCCGGGGTGGGGGGTGGGGGGCTCCGGCCAGGTGAGCGGCCCAGCGGCCCCGAGGTCGCCGCCGGCTGCTCGAATGAGGCCCCGAGGTGCCCTTTCCCGGCGGGGCCCTGCTCCACCCTCCGGCTTCCCGCCCTGCGCGAGCGCAGAGGGACCGAGCCGGCGGCAGCCCTCGCCCTGGGGTGCGCAGCCCTCTCCCTGGGGTGCGGCCTCTGCGGCGCGGCGGGAAAGGCGAAGCCCGGCTGCGTGCGCTGGCACATCCCTGCAGCTGCACACCTCAGCTGTCAGCGCTACTCCCGGCTCCTCCTACGCCCCCTGGACTCCAGGTCTCTGCACCCCCGTCACATCCCTCCATCCACTGCTCCCCCGGCCAGGCCACCCCGTATCTCCTCCAGTTCTCCTTTTCTCCGCTACCCCCACACACTCACCTGTTAAAAAGACTAGTTCAGATCCAACACAGTTTGGTAGAAAACCTGTCACTCTGATGCCTGGTCTTTAAGCTTCTTTACACACTTGGGCACTCAGCTATCTCATGACACAGAGTGACCTCTTGGGTCCATGTCTGCAAGCCTGACACCAAAAGCCTGTTGCTGCTTTGGTATCTTTGGCTCAGGGTTAGGGTGACTGAGCTACCACCTGAATGTTCTCTTGGTGAAGTTGCTGCTCAGAGTTCTTTGGGAAGCTCAGGTACAGAACATATTCCTGATGCACTTTAACACACACAGGCCACTCACACAGGCTTTGTCTGTGTTTTGTAGCTGAGCTCCCTGCCACGCAGACAGGCTGCAGCCTGAGTGAGTGCTTGGTTCTTCTGCACACACCCACATAGCGCCAGGCCCCAGGCAGGCCCACAGTATTTTGCCTGGTTGAGACTAGCAGAGGCACCCAAATCTATGCTTGGGAGAAAGAGTGAGCAAGAATAGAGAAGGAGAGAGAGAGAGAGAGAGAGAGAGAGAGAGAGAGAGAGAGAGAGAGAAGAAGCCATTACCTTCTGGGGAAGAACTCACAGATGAGAGCGTTTCCAGTTGGTATCTTAGTGAATCCTACACCCCTCACTCTGTGGTTGGCTGGGCTGGGAAGGGTAGAGTAGCGTTCCTCCTTACCTCACTGATGTTGGGCCTCAAGTTCACTAGCATCTCTTTGCCCCAAGGAGTGTGTGCCCTACCCTTTACCTGGCTGACTGCCCAGCAGTTGTAGGCATTTCTCCTGGTTGAGCCTAACTTAGGGAGAAAAGGCAGAGGGGGCAGGTTCCTGGGCAATGTGGGACCTTCCCTCTCCAAAGACTTTTGGGATGCTCCCAGAGATATAATTCTTGGGTGGCAGGATGACCAGCTTCCTTTGGTATCACATGGCCATTACTCCCATGGCCCAAAGCTATTTTTTTTCAGCCCTAAACAGTGAGTTTAGGTGCTCACTGCCACTAGGTGCTTTCTGTTCCCTCACCCCCACCCCCATGCTTGAGAGCATGATGTGTTGTTGTTTAAAGTTGCCTTGTTGCCTTTCTCCACACCCACACTGCAAGCCTTGATGGGTAGGGACTCTGTCCTCCACTTCTTACTCACTGCTTTCCCACCAGGACTGGCTTAATGTGTTTTAATGGCATTGGATACTGCCTCCATTCCATAGAGAGAATTGAGAGATGCCACTCTCCTTGAAATGAAGCTGGAATTTCCAAGAAAGGGATTGCAGGTGGGTAAGAGTGGCTGGAGC